AGATTGTTGATCTGTACTTGTTTGAATACAATCTTTAGTGATTTGGAAATAACCAAATGCACTACTTCGTATTGAACCATATGACTCTTCCATAAGAGAAGAAGAAGTACTAATTTATGTAAGAATTTTTTATTATCATATTATAAAACTATTAAATGATAAATTCACAAACCTATCATAATAAAATTGATGTTGGGCTATGGGCTTTGCTAAAGACTTTGCAATTGACATAATAATGCTGAGATAAACTAACCAATTTCAGATTTTATCTTTTTATATCTATTTTCAAGTTCTTTTGAAACAAACAGTCATTTTAATTGGAATTTACTAATTTTGTTCTTTCTTTTTCTTTTTCTTTAATAAAATTAATTTTTCTATTTTTTTCACTCATTGATTTCTTTTCATTGAGTGCCAACTAAATTCCACTCTCTTCCCAATTCTTTACTCTATTTTTATGTATTATTCAATACTATCAACGATGCTAAAGGCCTTTACTCTTTTTTTTTCGATTAATAGGTGATTGTATCTATTTTCATATCACTTCAAAATAATCCTCTCAACTGAAAATTATTTAAGACTATTTATAAACAATGAACTAATTAATTATTATAAGTTCATCAACATAAAAAAATCTTATCAAAAATCTTAAAAAATCAAGATGTCATTAGCAAAGTGAATTGAAAAGACATGAAATTTAATATATTTAATTAATGATACCAAGAAACAAAAACATTACCTTACTTACATTTTTTGACCTTATTCATTTTCCTTTAAAAAAACCTAATTGGATTGGGTGTAATAACCAATTGCGACCGAGTTTTACTTATCAACAAGACCACCCTCCATTCAAAGAAATACCTTATTATCTCTTACATCCTTTTCGTTCATTATTTATCAAAGAAAATTCTTCTTCTAATTGTTCTAATAAAGTTAAAGTTACAAACTCAATCATGAAACAATTAGAAATGAAAGAAATAAAACAAAACGAAGACTACGAGGATTGGGTTATTTTATGGGATATCAATAAAGAAGAACAACACAAGTTTAAACAAGAAGATAAAAACTATCAAATCAAGTATTGGAATGATTTTATCAATAGGGTTGAATGGGAAAAAGGTATTATATGGGACTCTGATACAAACCAAATGAACTTAACTTATTTACTTGAAATGGTAAACAATTGGGATTTTCATGAAACAAATAATGAACAACAAAATGAGATTATTCCATATCAAAATTACCACAAACAATTAATTCTAGAAGAAGATAATTATTTGATTGAGTATACAATAGATGACCCACCACTCCCATTGTACTGTAATTCTTGGATGGAGGAAGATGACCTCTTGGGGTTATGTTTATGCACTGATGAAACAAAAACTATTCTTCAAAAACAATTAATTTCACAAACCGATTTTCTTTTGACAAAAAAAGATGGTCATTGGAAAATAGAGGAATTTAATCATTTATATTCAGCAGGTCAAGTTTTTTTGAAAAAATCTATTGATATTCCACCTGTTTATTCTGGGGAGTATTCTTATTACATGAATCAATCAGATTCAATTCAAAAACGGATTCTTTCAACTTGTAATAAACGGTATGGTGGAATGGACGCCAAAAGAATTTGTGAAGAACTTCTCAAAACAAAAGAAAAATGGAGGAATGAAAGTCAAATAATGGAAGAAGATCTATTGGATCTGCCCTGGAACAGATGTTGGATTGATGGGAATTTAGTTGAAGGGAAAAAACGAAAAGAAGTTCAGATTGTTGAACTAGAATGTGGGAAATTAGGGTATAAAGTTAATTGGAATCATCATAAAAGAAAAAAGGAACAGTGGACTAAATTAAAGGAGATTAGAAAAGAATTAAAACTATTGGACGCCCCTTCTTGGGCATTGCAACTTAAACATGACGACTCATTAAATTGTCTTAAACGAATTAAGAAAAGAAAAATGTGGAATGAACAACGTCAAGTACAATTAACTGAAGAAGAAAAGCAGGAAATACATCGTATTTTATATAAACAAAGAAGAATTGAATGGTGTTATAAAAGTATTTGGAATAATGATGAAGATAAAAAAAGAAATAAAGAAATCAAGTTTCACAAAGAACAACCAAAAAAACGGAAAAAAAGTGTAAAGGAATGTGTACGATTTATTCTTCAACAATCGGAAGATATTCAACAAAAGAAAGAATTAGAAAGATTATTAAAGAAAGTAAAAAGAAAAACTATAAAAGGATTTTCTAAAGATATTGAAGAGGTCATAGTTAAAGGAAATAGAAGTGAGTGGATAAATAAAGTAAAAAAATTGATTCAGTTATATACAGAAGAGTAATGTATACTATTTTATATTTAATAATCTTTTTTTAAGAATTTTTTTAAGCATAAATAAAAGAAATTTTAAATAAAAATTAAAAATATTTTTTTTATAATAAAATAATAAAGAAAATAGAAGAACTCATAAATATTTAATTAAAGCTTCATTTCATGGTTATTTTTTTTGTATTGTTACTTGAAATCTGTCTTGGGTTCAAAGTTCATTACATACCAAAAAATGAAAACATAAAAACAACTTTCTTAAATTATGAAAAAGGTGATAACACAACATTGTATGTAGGGATTGGCTTACTAGCTTTAGGTGTTCTTTTGAATTTATTAGTAATTTGCTGTTGTTGTAAATTATTGTTGAAAGATCGTAGAACTGAAAAACCAGTAAAAGCCAATAAAAAAAGAAAGGTTGAACAGATGGGAGTAAAAATGGATTAATAATTGTTTATTTACAAGGATAGTATTTAGTTCTTTTTTTCATCAATTTTGAAATTTAAAGGCATTTTAGAAAGTCTTTTTTTCAAAAAATGGTTTTGGTTGGTCTTGGTTAAATGATATAAAGAAATCTTAATCACCGTGAAATAAGAGAAGTGGATTTAGTTTTGTTTAAAAAGTCATAGGAAGAAAAGGCCGTGAAATAAAATGTAGAAAATGTTTGACCAAAAAAGGAAAAGGGTATGATATACAAAAACAAAATTCCACGGGGATAAAAAGATTACGTCATATTAAACCTTCTCCAAATATTTAATAAAGAACCTATAATTACATATAAAGAAGTGTTGATTCTTTTCTAATTTGTTTAGATAACCTCCTTCAATATTTAAACAAAAACTAACTTTTTAAAACAAAGACTAATTAAATGACCGAGTTTTATCATCCATCATTTATCCGAAGAGTAAATGTTGAAAGTGATGACGAAGATGGGTTTGATGTTTTAAATACGATTGCACCATCTTCTCCTCAACGTTCTGTTTCTCCTGATACATCTGCAGAACTAATTGAAAGTAGTCCAAGTGTCCTTACTACTGAATGTGAATTAGGATTTTTTATTCATCCCGTTCTTTAAACAAACTAATCACTTACTTTAATGCTTTATAATTTTTATTGTTTTTATGACTTTCTTTCTGTTGTTGGTTTTATTTCTGTTGATTTCTTTTAAAAACAAAACTTTTCATTAGTGGGATAAATTGAATTTTCTTGTTATTATAATATACCAAAAAAAAATTATTTTTGTTATTTATTTTATAACATTAAAATCAAAGAAGAAAAGTTATTTTTGTTGTTCAATCTCCTTCTTAAAATAAATAAGAGGTTCTTGTAAATAAACTTGAAAATAAGGATTTGTGTTTAAAAGAAAATTTCAAATAATCTGTAGAAAAAAAGAAATAATAAATTAATAATAAAAGAACTATATTATAATTATAATTACAAGAGTGATTAATATAGAAAAGAAGAAAAAAAAAAAAAAGAGGAAAATTCCAACCAAATGGAAAAAGATGGAAAAGAGAATTTAAAGAAAAAGAACTAAATAGTTAAAAAGTTGCAATGTTAGGACTCTTGTGTCTAATGCTTAGTGCACTGAGTTATGCAAAATATCCTGTTGTATATGAAATTTCAACAAGACCATGGTTATATGAATTAACACAAAAATATGGAAAGTCTATTACTAAATTAAGAGATATTCCATTAGAAGAATTTGACAGATTAAAAAGTAAAGGTATTGAATATGTTTGGATGATGGGAGTTTGGCAATTAGGAGAATATGGATTAAATCTTGATAGAGCTAATGCAGATAATTACAAATCTGTTCTTCCAGACTTAACAGAAGATGACATTATTGGATCACCATATGCTATTACAGAATATGTCTGTAATCCTGAAATTGGAAGTGATGATGATATTGCTTGGTTAAAGTCTCAATTAAATGCTAAAGGACTTAAGTTAATGCTTGACTTCGTTCCAAATCATTCTGCTTGTGATGCCCCTACTGTTAATGAACATTCAGAATATTATGTTAAAGCACCTCAAGCTTCAAGTTATGATTCAAAATATTATCTTCCTAATGGAGTTGCTCATGGTAAAGATCCATATTTTGATCCATGGCCAGATACAGCACAATGGAATTATTTTGAACCAAAAACTCGTAAATTTATGACAGAAAACTTAAAAAAAGTAGTTTCTTTATCTGACGGTGTAAGATGTGATATGGCACATCTTGATCTTAATGATGTTTTCTCTAAGACTTGGAAAAGTGAATTAACAGCAAATGGATATTCAACACCATCTACTGAATTTTGGACAGAGGCTATTGCTGAAGCAAAGAAAGTTAATCCAAATGTTATTTTTATGGCAGAAGTATATGAAGAATGGCAAATGACTAAATTACAAGAATGTGGATTTGATTATTATTATGACAAACCATTTTTAGATAAATGTGAAGCTGGAATATCAGAAATTCAAAATTATGCCCATTATAAGACTCTTGAATTCTTTGATCATGGTGCTCATTTCGTCGAAAACCATGATGAAAATAGAGCTGTTCAAAATATGGGTTCTGTCCCTCGTGCTAATGCTGCTGGTGCTCTTGCTGCTACTCTTCCTGGATTAATTTTCTTTAATCATGGACAATTTGATGGATTAAAAAATAAACTTGATGTCCATTTAAGAAGAAGTGCTAGTGAACCTAAATCCTCTGTTGCACAACAATTTTATAATAAATTAACTTCTATTCTTAAAGATGATGCTTTCAAAACAAAGAATTTCTATTATGTATACAATGTAAATGGTGATAATGCTTGGAGATATGCTGCTTGGATAAGAAAAGCTACCAATTCATATCTAGTTGTTGTTAATTATTCTGATGCTTATTCTTGTGCTAATGTTCCAATTTATGATATTAATGGAAGTGGAAATGTGAAAGTCAAAGAAATGATGACTAATATTGAATATACTAGAGATGCTGCTACTTTAAAAAGCACTGGGCTTACTGTTTGTATGAATGGTTATGATGTCCAAATCTTCCAATACAATTACTAATTCATTTCTTTTTTTTGAAATAATACAAATTAGTTGTTAATAATCAAATTCTATTATCTAAACTTAATAAAAAATAAATGGATTAGGATTAATCAATACACACGAAGAAAATGAATTGAAGATCCAATTGACGCTGCTATCCAATTGGAATTTGATTTTGACCAACAAACATCATTTACCTCACTTTTTGTTTTAATTTCTAATAAATTATTACAACATTGTTTGTTTGATTTAGAATTTTGTGACCACATTAAAATATTTTTAAAAGTACCAAGACAAATCTCAGAAGAAGATATAGGAGACCAATCTATGGAAGTAATATTTGTTGTTTCTAATTGTAATTGGTTATATAACTTTGTTGGTTGTCTAATGTCCATTATAAAGAGTTGGTTTCCTAATGAATTAAATGTTGCAATTTTGGTAGGATCAATAGTATTCCAACTCACTTGAAGAAGATCTAATTTTTGATTTCCTTGTGGAAATAGTTGAAAATTAGAAGTTGAGCGAATATCAGTTATTTGGATAAGTCCGTTAACACAACTTGTAATAAATAAATCAGGATTGGATGGTGAATATTTCATATCAAGAATTTGTTGAGTAATATGGTCTGAAAATGAGACAATAACTCGAGAAGATTCAATGCTCCATACACAACAAGTATTATTTAAATACCATGTACAAACAAGATCTGTATTGACTCTACACCAATCAAACCCACATGATGGATATGCTGAATAAGATACATCAATCACTGATAATTGAAAAATATCATTTGATTGTGGAACACAAAATAATCGTAGATTATCACCTGATGTTATTATCATATCATTAATTGGACTTGATTTAGGAATAAATTTAATTGAAGTAGGAGGGAATGGTAATGAAGTTGTTGGACAAGATGTAATTTCTTTGATGGAATCAGTTACTTCTTCATATCCAACTAGATGAAGATATGACCTACTGCAGTCTGAAAAAGTGGAATAAACACTTCTAAAAGGATGGATATTTGAACTAACCCAACTAACATTAATTGTTGGATCATTTGCTTGAAGAATAAGATAATTTTTTTTGGGTTGCATTAAACCAATTTAGATAATGTCAGTACCTATAGAAAAACCTATTTTTTTATTTTCTTAGACGTTGCAATACTTTAAATTTAAATTATGTTTTACTTAAAATTTTATTATTTTAACAATCTACGATTTTCCACTAATTTTTCTTTAGTTATTCTTTATTCTTCTATAAACCTCCTCTAAAATCACTACTAATAATTCATTTTATTTAACTCATCTTCTATTTCTGTTTTTTTACTTTCGTTAGTAGAAACCTCTTGAATTATTTCTTTTAATGAAAAATGAATTGGTAGCTAAGTTTGTTAAGGTAACTGAAAACATTGATTTCTTGGAAAACTTTTTAAGGATAACTGTTCACCGTATGGTAAATTTGTTAATTCTTCTGTATTCAATGGAACAAAATTTACACAGTTTGAAATAGATAATTCACTGATTGTAGTTGGGAGATTAAGTGAACGTAATGATGAACAATGTTGAACATCAAGCTTTTCAATTGATGAATTAAACTTAATGTTGGAAAGCAAATTTAGTCTAAATAGTCTTAGAGAGGTTAGAGAGCTTGGAAGTTGTAGTTGTTCTAGTGAAAGAAATGCAAGAGATAAATTCTTAATTGAATCACTGATTGGTGGTGGTTCTGTTTTATTGCAATTTAAATAAGTTAGACAAGTCATTAGTGGAAATTGTTTTTTCAGAACACAACGAGAAAGTGTAAGTTGTAAAAGATTTTTAAATTCAGGAAGTATTGTATACTCTTCAATGACACATCCATTAAGTTGTAAAGAAGTTATTGATTCAGGTATTTCATTGAGAGTATTAGCATTTATTGTTAATTCATATACAAAAGGGAGTTTGGGAATAGTATCACCAAATGGAATAGAAATTGATAAAATAGGATGAGATAAATGTACATTTGGAGAGTCTTTGATTATAATTTTATTCAAGGTTGGTGGTAATTCAACAAAAGATGGGATAGAAAATAACGTGAGTTCATTTAACAGTGATAAATGAGTTAGTGGTGGAAGAGGAGAATTAATATTGGAAAGGAAAAGTCGTGTAATTGAATCAGGAAATTCTTGAATGGAAAGACAATCAGACAAATGAAGTTCTTTGACGTCAAGTAATAAAGGAATGTCTATCTCGCAATGTTCAATAAAACAAAATTGAAGTGTGTCAGGTAGTGAGTGAAGATGATTTAAGGAAGTTAATGAACGTAAACAAAGATTTCTGGTTTGTGGGGGGATTTCTAATTCAGATAAATGAGGACAATCAATCACATTTAATGAGGTAAGAGTCATTGGTAATTGAGGAAGGACATTTGGTTGAAAATGGATAAGTGTTAGTTCAAGTAAATTAGGAAGTAATGGAATTTCTACACTTGGAGATTCAATAGAAAGAGAAAGTAGAGATGTTGGTAATAATAATTGTGTTAGAGGAAAGTCTTCTGGAAGAATTTGTAATGAATAAATTTCTTCATCTCTAAGATCAAGTAAAATAGAGTCATGTTCAATTTGAGATGGGTATAATGCAACAAAAGGAATTAGATAATTATTAAATACTTTTGAGAAATGTTCAGTTCCTACAAAGTCAATAGCAAAAGTAAGGTGATAATAAATAGGTTCTAAAACACATGTTGTTTTAATTAATGAAATATATAAATCATTTCTATATCCAATAAACTTAATATCCTTTTTAATAGAACGACATTTTGCAATAGTAATCTCATTAATAATATCAGAAAATTTAATGATTAATTTCCCTTTTATTGTTTGGATAATCGAGAGAATTTGGTTAATATTATATTGAAGTGTTTCAAAAATAATAAGAGAATCATAAGAAATATCACTAAAATCTAATTTAATTTCTTCTAATGAACACGCTACATTTATGTGTAATTTTTTAAGATTAACAAATCCTTCAAACTTAAAAGAAACAGGTTCTGTTACAACTATGCTTAATTCAACAAGTTGTGATTTAATGAGTTTAAGATAAGAAAAGACATTTGAATTTATTTCTTCAACTGAACTAATAAATCTCAAAATATGCCGATGAAGGTAATGAAAACGTGATAAAACAGTCATAGGTGCCTCAAATGTTTGCAAATTTTTCATGTACTTTAAACACCTTTTTAACTCTAATTCATTATTAAAATTAGGATTTTTAAGAAAAAGCCCAAATAAATCACACTGGTGGCTAACAAATGAGAGTGTAATAAGGTCTTGAACAGTTTCAAAATAAAAAGCGATATTAAGTAAGAAACATCTTTCAAGTTTACACGTCATGATATTTTTAGTTTTATTTTTTTAAAAGTTAAAAATAATGTCATATAAAATACAAATTTATGAGACTTAAAAAAACAGAAAAATATGCATCATTGGTCAATATAAAATAGATTTTCGATATAAAAGTTCATTTATGACTGAAGAGGGATTTGTTCCATCAAGTATTGGTTTTGCTTATCAAGACCTTTTATCAAACATGTATGTAAGTAATGTCAGAAATAGATTGAGACAACTCAATCAACCTACAGATAATGATTGTAAAAGATGGTTCTGGGAATTAGTACAGAATGCTAAGGACTCTATTGTAAATGACCCCACAAAAAATTCTGTCTCTATCAAGGTTAAAATTACGGAAAATACATTCTCTTTTTCTCACAATGGATCACCATTTACTGCAAAAGCAATGTTAGGACTATTATACAAATATTCAGAAGGAAAGCAAAATAGTACACAATCAACAGGAAGATTTGGAACTGGATTCTTGACCACACACACTATTTCAAAAATAGTGTCTATTACTGGAGATATTTATGGTGATGAAAAAAATGGAGATGTTGTTAATGGGTTCACAGCAACAATGTACAGAGATGGTTATGAGGATGAAGAATTACTTAAAGGAGTTGAAAAAATGAAAAAGTCAATAAAATATTTAAAAGAACCATTTGGATGGACTACTTATGTTTACCAGATTCAAACTGAAACAGGGAAACAAGCTTTAGAAAAAGGACTTTCAAATGTATGGGAAAATGTTGGACAAACTCTTGTTTTTTGTAAAGAAGTGAGTGACATTACTATAGATAATAAAGGGCATATAACTAAAATAACAAGAGAACCTGTTATGACAGAAGGAACAATGGAAATTCATACAATAGTTTTTAATGAAGATAAAAAGATTAGTAAAAGACGATTTTTAATTGGAAATTATGAAGAATATAATGAAAAACTTACTAATAGATTTGGAGTTGAAAGAACACTTAGAATACAATATGCTATTGAATTTGATAATAAAAAAAATATTATTAGGAATAAATTTGCTTCATTGTATTGTGTTTTTCCACTTGTTGGATCAGAAGCAATTCAAGTTCCATTTATGCTTAATTCTCCAGACTTTCAGCCTGATTCAGAAAGAGAAACAATTTATCTTAATGGTACTGAAACAAATGATGCAACTAGAAAAATAAGCGACACTGGAGTAAACAGAATGATCTTATTAAAAACTGTTGATTTATATAGAGAATTCTTAAATCATTTGGCTCAATACAATTATAAAAATTTGTACATTGTTGGTTCTGGTTTAAAATCAATACCATCAGGAAAGTTCTTTGATAGAAATTGGTATTCTTTATATTTTATTAATTCTATGAGAGAGGTCATGGGTTCAATGCCATTTGTTGAAACACCATTTGGTTTAAAAACACTCTACAAAAATGGAGGTCCAACTATGTTTTTCCCATATATTAATGGAAATAAAAAACAAATACATTCATTCTATTCAATTGTTGCAATGTTATATCCAACAAAAGTATGTAATGAAGAATGTCTCCAACCATGGCTAGATAATATTTGGGAAGGATGCGGTATTCTTACTATCCAGAAACTACTACATTATATTAGTCAATACAAGTCTTTATCTGAAATGGAAAAACACTACAAATCAGTAGATTTTAAAACAGCATTAAGTAATCTTATTGACTTAGTCTTTGAAATTGATAAAGAATTATTAAACAAATACCCAATTATTCCAAATAAGAATGAATCATTTAAAAGACTTGACTCACCTGGTTTAGTTAGTGTGGTTCATGTAGATAACTTATTGAATAAACTTCTTGAAAAAATTACTGGAAAATGGAATGAAAATTGTATTCATGAATGTGTTCAGAATGAGAATTTAACCACTTCACTTCATACTGATAGAGTGTGTGAAATCATTAACTCAGAGATACTAAAACTAAGAGAAATTAAATCTAAAGATATCGCTGGTGATGAAGAGTTTTTAAAAAAAGTTGATTTATTAGTTGCGTGCTGTGTAGATGATCAAACTAAATTTGGAGAAGGGTTCATCAACAAAAGAAACTTCATTTATCAGAATGTTTTTGATTGGTTTGATGATATTATTCCTGAAAAAAAACTGATTACAAACTCATTCTCTGAAATAGTATGGGATAATCTTGATCTCATTCTTATTGGAATTCTTTTGAGAAAAATAGAAAGTACTAAAGAAATAGAAAAAATCCCAGTTACTATAAACCAGTTTAATGATTTGTTATGTTATTTACATAAAAATTCAACAGCACTTGTTTGGAATAGATACGCTATTATTCCTGACCAAAATGGTAATTTTCAAAAACCAGAAGGAATGTATACTGATGGTGGTGTCCCTGATTGCCTGAAATGTGACAACATCACTGCTTTTGGTATAGACTTTAAAAAAATTCTTTGTAACAAAAAAATTAAATTACCTTTACCTGTTATGTCTCTAGATGATGGGTGTAATAAATTTGCAAAGTTAGAACCAACCAATTTATACTGGGAAAATATCCTTTATTTATTTTCAATTATTCCACAAGAACAAGCTATTCATGACAGACAAAAATTATATTATGACCTAAGCAAGTGTTATTTGAATAACGAAAATCCTGAAGTATCACTAGATGTTAGTAGTGACATTCTATGGAAAAGATATAAATTTCTTTTGGTTAAAAAGATCATTGAAAGGCATAACTCTTTTGATAATTTTTTCCATTACAAATCTAATTTACGTTTAAATGATAAAACTGCTTTTAGGATGATAGAAATGTATTGGACTTGTTATGACTTACATAGTCAGGAAATCTATAGTAAATTGCATTACTCAAAGAAACTTCCTAATCAATACGGATTATTCAAAAACTCAAATAGTCTATCATTTGATCAAGATAATGCCAAAAGTGTAATAGAAATCCAATCGACTTTATACTCTGGTTTAATGAACTCTTGTATTGGTATGTATATTAAATACAACAATTACTCTGAGTATAAGGACACACTACTACTTAATGGAATTAAAAATATTAATAATAGCTTGAAAAATACCACACTAATAAATATATGTAATAATATTGATGAGATGGTTGAGTCTTGTTATAACAACAACAGAAAACAATTATTCAATAATTATAAATTCAAAGATGCTATGACTGAATTATTTGCAACTGAGTATATTCCTTCATCATTATACTTCCCTAAGCTTAGCCAAGAAACACTTCTTAATGACATTGAGTATAGTGTGATCTTTAGTTCCGAGTTTAAAAAATCATTCTTTAAACTATCAAAACTTTTAAAAAAGAAAGAGTTAACAGTAGATGGTTTAATTAATTTAGTTAATCAATACAATCCAAAAACAGAAGAGACAAAATGAACGCAAAATCCTATCGTACTTTTGTCATTGAATAAAGTGACAAAGAAGAATTAAAAAGAATATAATTAATTATTTCTTTTAAAAATAGGTTTTTTAAAAAAAAATAAACATCATTGATAAATTTAATTGTTTTAATTTATAAAATAATTTAAAATAATTTATTTGCTTATAAAAATACTCCAGAATAAAACTTATAATTCAATAATTTAAGATGTTATCAAACACTGTCCAAAATTGTTATGATGATTTAGCAATTCAAATCCGTAAATTATCAAAAAAAAGTATTACTATGCTTGGAGGTGCATATACTGCTTTGGTTAATAATGGTCAGTTCAACAAAAATGATGTTGTCCTATTAACGAATTTATTTTATACTTTTCTAGAAAGTAGCCAATCTGAAAAACAAGAAAAACTTTCTAAATTATTAGAAGATGAAAAGAAAAGTGTAACCTCATCCCCTAAATTAAAAACAAACACTGAAAAAATAGTGGAGAGGGTTGGGGCCAATGCAGTAAGTCAAACACAAGACCCAGGAGAACTACCAAAAGGAAGTGTATTAGAAAACACAAACCAGCCTAACAAAGATAATACGTTATCAGAGTTTCTCCAGAAAATAATTGACCTTTATTCATCTGAAACCAATAAACAACTGTTTTGTAATATCTGTCAACAACTCCTAAGAGAAGTGGTTATACAATTAACTGTTGTACCTGCTATAGACAACGAAATGAAAGATCGATTCATTCAGTTTATTAAACAAATAAATACTATCCAGTCAGGATATTTAAGTCTAGACTCAGTATTTACAAATAAATTTACTGGTAATGAAACAACAAAATTAATTCAAGAAGAAACAAATTGTCTGTACTATTCCTTTATTAACGAATTTAAGAACTTACTTACTGAGACAAGCAAAAAAAACAGTTCCAAGACAGTTAACGATTTTTATAATGGCCTAAACCAACTATTACAAGAAGGAACTCTCCAAACACAACTACGTTATCTTCATAATAATGAACATTTTAAAAAAGCTCAAACATTAATAGACAGTGTATTAAATAAAGAAACTAAGAGAGATAGGAAATCAGAAGTCAAACAAAAAATTTTGAGATTACTTACTGATAAGAATCCTAATCTACTTTTAAAGGCTGATAACTTAGAGGAATTTGTTGACAATATTCTCAACACTCCTGATTTCACAAAAGCCTCTAAACTAAATTCCAAAATAAATGAATTGGAAAAAAAAAATAATAATGCCATTCATAAAAAAGAAGAATTAGAGAATGAAATTAAAAAAGCAAACGTTAATTTAAATAAGATTCATGAAATTATTGAATCTTATTCAGAGCCACTACAAGAAGTTAAAAGGGAAAAAGATGCACTTATTAAACAAATAAAAGAATATGACTCAATTAAGGCTCAAAGTATTGCTATTCCATTTGAATTATGGTATCTTGAAGCTAATTACACATGCATTATTTTTATAGGAGAAAGAAAGAAACGAATTAAATTTGTTCTTCAATTAAGGCATAGTAATAAAAATGGAGAACTAATACAAATTAGGAACAACATTTATACTAGAATATATTTCACTCATAAACACTTTAGAAGAGAAGGTGATGATGTTGTTTATTACATTAACGATAGTGACATTCCTAAAGATCGTAGAGTAAATGTCATACATCCAAATGGGTCTAGGTACCAATACTCATATGTCAATTTTAAAGATAATCAAATTATTACCGAAGGCCGTGGATTTACGAATGATTTGAATTCTTCTAAAGGAAGATTTATTATAAGAAAAGTAAGTAACATCAATTTATTATCTCCTAGTGAAAATGAACTAATTAAGAAAAGAGAAGATGACGCTTCAAAAATAAAGGAACTTATCGATAGAGAAGATGGTATTAACTATAATAAAGAAAGTGCTAACAAAAAATTGGAAAATTATAATTCTACTATTTCTCATTTAGAAGAGCAAAAACAAAAGTATGATAGTGACCTAAATTCATTTAAAGAAGAAATAAAAGACCTACGACTTGAATTAAGCCAGGAAGAGAAAAGAATTAATGAAGATAGTTCTAAGGATCTCGATAAAATTCGAAAGAAAATTCTAGCTAAGGCTATTGAAGAAAACAGAATTATTATATACTCGTGTAACCATAGTAACGAAATTAAATTTATCGATGCAGCTGAGGGCTCTGGCATTAAATTTTCAATTAGTGGACAGAGTATATGTTTTTTAGACTCAAAAGAAAAGGACTTAAGAACAAAAGAAGGCGAGCGGTGGTCGTCGATCTTGTCTGGTAAATTACTAACTTTCTATTATCATCTTATCGAAGAGCTAAAGTTTACTAACAAAGAAGAGGCAGTGCCTAATGATAACATCATCTTTGAAACCCTTTTCAGTGATCAACAAATTATCATTTTTAATGTAGACATTCCTAGTTCTTATAATGAAAAATACATCCCTATTGCTCCCTGTAAAAGAAAGGCTTTTGACATGGATGAACCAAATCGTTTTATGGTATTTCCAGTTAAAACACCTAAGTGTCCTACTAGATTCGTCTTTAAGAATGGTTATTACTCTGGAACTCCAGATGGAGGTATTATTCTTATTAATGTTTCATTCAAAGAAGATGAGCAGAATTTAGGAGTTAGTGATAATATTTTACCATCAGTGTCTCCTCGTAAACCTCTTAAAGAAGGTGAAAAGAGAACAGAACAACTCTCAGTAGAAAATTCTTCCAAAGCTAAACAACAACAACTTAAGAGTTCAACTACAGACACTCAAAAATCCCTAGGTATTTCAGATATATGGGAGCTAACTTTTAAGGACCAATCTAGTGATGTGTATGCATTTAAAAAAGATGGTAAGATGTATGGAACTAAACTTATCAAGACTTCCTCCAAAAGTGAACAGAAACCAGGCGATGTGTTTGATTATCAAAGTGAAGGCTCTCACTCCTCCGCCCTTGGTGTGTATTGTCTAAGGTCTGTAGATAAAAGTAAGAAGAAGAACTACAAAAAATGTCTTGATAAAGAGCTAGAGTTTCATTTCCCTGAAAATTTCAAAAAAACTTACAACAAAGATTTTTTTGGAGTAAAGACTAGTATAGGAAGTGATTACTCAACAAATATAAGTGACACTTCAATAATTCTACCAATAGAATCCAGTAGGGTAGGAAATAAATATTATGCAATATTCGAGTATGAACCAAATAGATATATTGGCGTTACTTTTAATTTTAGTAATTAACTCCCTTCTTTTATCAACAATTTGAGATGGATGATTATCTTTAAACAAAACAGTTATAATTAAAGTTATTGTTGGTCATCTTCATAAGAAGATGTTATATTTTCAAAGGTTTTCTTAATTGAAGTAACGCATTTGTCTAAGTCACTCATCATACTGATTGTAATTTTTTCTGCTTTAAGAATAGATTGAATTTTTTTTGTTAACTCTTCAGCTGGATATTGAAATTGAGTCATTTGGAAGTCATAAAGATCCTTTTTGTCTTGATTAAAGTACTCAAGAACATACAAATTTCTCAAAACAGTATGAGCGTCTATTTCTACAAGCGAAGCCTCATACAGGGGAGATAAAGTAGTAGCAATGGATTTTTGTTCTTTCATTATTTCTAAAATAGTAGAATACCTTTCTAATGATTGTTTTACGCCTACATCTTGAAGGTCATAGTGAGTAAGATAATTTAGTGTTTCTTCATCTATATAATCATCACCACCACTATTTTCTTTTTGTTGATATGGAACGCAATTTTGTCCTGGTTTGTGTTGATGGTTGTTAGTAACTTGCATACACACCCAACAGAAAAAACAATGGCATTTATAACAAGACATCCATTGACATCCACCATTCTTCTCAATAAATGCGCCACATGAAGGACATGGTCTTGAGTTTGTTCTAATCCATTTTAAATTTAATCCATCCCTTTTTAATAACTCTTGCCATAACCTCCATTGTTCACAAGTAGCAGGTCGATGGTTTATCTCTCCACAGAGAAGACACATATTAGTTTGACAAGAACATATTGCAGTTTTATTACTATCTAATAGACTTCCTTTATAATGTAGTACTTTATTACATCTTTCATTGAAACAGTATCTACATAAAAAATCTTTATTTCCTTCAATGAACGCAGTGATAAGTAATTCACAATACCTATAATATGTATAGTCATCAACTAAAGAACGTACAATATCCATTGTAATACAACAGTGACATCCAGAACTTAAACATTTAAGATTTCCAATGCTTTTACCATTTTCTCTCATTCCAGTTAATATTTGTTCAAGAATACATTGTTTACAAAATGAATGTCCACACCGATTTGTGAACATTTCTTCTGGTAACTTGTCTTCATAACAAACGTCACAAGTAATTGATTGTGTTTCTAATTTTTCATCTCGTTCTTTATGTTGTTGAGTTAATTTTTTATCTAACTCATTATACCATAATTTCATTGAAGATGGTATTGTTCCATTATTTACAGATGCGATAACAGAACTGTCTTCATTATAAATCATACAAATATCGAAATAAAATTGTGGAGATAGTCCTAGTAATGGGCATTGTTGAATAACATTATTTGATGGATAAATTAATTCTCTTAATGATTTGTATTTATTTTTTAAATTGTTTTTTACATAACTAAGATGGTTTTGAAGTTTTCTAAGTGCTTCTTCTTCATTACCTTTATATTCAATTAATGATAAAATGGCTAAACATCTATTGAATCCTCTACCAATAATATTGCATATACTCTCTTCATCAATTTGATATTTAGAAATATTGGTGTATTTTAAAACAAAGTAATCTTCAGGAAATACAGTTGACTGTGGTGCAAACCATTCTTCTTGTTTTTGTTTATATCCATTCTTTGTTAAAAAATTGTCATCACCAAAGAAATCGTCTTGTAGTCTTAATGTCTTAAACCCATTTTCATAAAATAGGCTTAATACAATTGTAGGGCAAACACAAAATAATTCACTTGTTTCTACTAGTCAGTAATGGATTTCATTGTAACTAAATATTTTTTTATTATAAGTAAAACAAACCAACTAATTCTTTATATATAACTGTTAACAATTTGTTTCTATCAAAACACTCAGACCTTGACATTAACTTTTTACGGTATGAAGAAATAGGAAGTCTAGAAATGATGGCAATAGTCTCTTGATCCATAAAGAGAGTAATCAAATAAATGATTCTTTAACAATTTTTCATAAAAAAATAAAAATTAAAAAGAAAAAATAATATGCTTAAGATGCAACACATCAAAAAAACGTTGAACCCACGTCATCAAAGAGAATAAAAGCAATCTTCTAAGGTGTTTATTAAACAGAATATTTGGTTATGTCTAATAAACAACTTAGTGAAGCAGCTAAAGCTAGAGGTACACAAGCCTTTAAAGATCAAAAGTATGAAGAAGCTATTAAAGAATATACTGAAGCTATTAAATATGATGAAACAAATGGTGTATTATATTCAAATAGAAGTGCTTGTTACGCTTCTTTAGAACAATTTGATAAAGCACTAGAAGATGCAAACAAAACTATTCAATATAAACCAGATTGGTCACGTGGTTATTCACGTAAGGCATTTGCTTTATTAAAATTAGAGAAGTATGAAGAAGCAGAAGAAGTATGTAATGCTGGTTTAAAAATTGAACCAGAAAATCAAATGTTGAAAGATATTCTTGATGAAGTGTATGAAAAAAAAGTCCCATTTAATGTCAACGAAATGTGGAAAAATTGGAGAATTAAACTTGCAGCCAATCCAAAAACTGCTTCTTATTTAAATGATCCAGTTTTTGTTAATAAAATTGAAAAGATTGCTGCAGATCCTAAAACACTTCAAACAGAAATGAATGATGTTAGAATTACTGAAGCAATGATAGTATTAATGGGAATTGATATGAATAACTTCAAACCTCAAGAACAAGAACACACTAATACTCCTATGGAAGAAGAAAAACCAAAAGATATTCCTAAAACTGAAGAAAAGAAAATGGAAGAAGAAGTTCCAAAGAAAGAAGAAACTCAACCAATGGATGAAGTTCATCCAGAAGATATAAAGAAAAAAGAAGCACAACAACAAAAGGCAAAAGGAAATGAATTATATAAACAAAAGAAATTTAGTGAAGCAATGGAATGTTATGATAAAGCTATTGAACTTGATCCAAGTGATTTAACATTTAAATTAAATAAATCAGCTGTGTTTTTAGAAATGGAAAAATATGATGAATGTATTAAATTATGTAATGAACTTATTGATGAATATAAAGAGCAACGAATTTATACACAAAATGCTAAATTATTTATGAGAATTGGTAATGCTTATTTCAAACAAGACAAATACACAGAAGCACTTGACTTTTATAAAAAATCATGTACTGAAAAAAGAACAGAAGAGATTTTGAATAAAATTAAAATAACTGAGAAGAAGAAGGAAGCTAAAGAACAACAAGAATACTTCTCAGTAGAAAAGGGTGAAGAAGCTCGTGCTAAAGGATCTGCTTTCTTTAAAGAACAAAACTTCCCTGAAGCTATTAAATGTTATACTGAAGCAATTAAACGAAATCCAAATGATCATCTTGCATATTCTAATAGAGCTGCTGCTTATCAAAAACTTGGAGAACACCCATATGCTATTAAAGATGCTGAAATGTGTATTAAGATTAAGCCAGATTTCATAAAAGGATATAATAGAAAAGCATTTTCTCATTTCTGTATGAAAGAATATAATAAAGCATTAACTGAATATGAACGTGCTTTAAAAATTGATCCAAATAATGCTGAAGCAACATCAGGAATTACTACTGTTCAAAATGCAATCATGGGAACTAGTAATGCAGAAACTGATGAAGAACGATTAAGACATGCCATGGCTGATCCAGAAATTCAAAGTATTTTAACTGATCCAATGATGAGAAATATTTTGGATGATATGGGAAAGAACCCTGCTTCTGCTACTAAATATTTACAAGATCCTGAGGTTCGTTCAAGAATAGAAAAATTGATTGCTGCTGGTATTATTAAAACAGCTTAAAAACAATGTTGGATGGGACTGATAACCAAAAGTATTTTTTAAATTTACATCTTTTTTAATTTTTTTGGTTTAAATGAGGAATTATTTTTGAAGGTTTAAAATTTCTTGAAGAACATTTACCATGTAACGAGCAAAACTTTGTAAATAAAGAATAAGTTGACCATCAACAATAAGAGTATCATGTTTAAGTTTATGATGTCCTCTTTGAATAATAAAATGAATCTGTGCACGAGAAGTGAATGGATTAAGGTTATACCTTGGATGATGATGGAATAAAATATTTAAGTCTTGTTGGTGTTGTTGGTTAAGAAAATCACATGACTCAAATAGTTGATTTTGTTTATCAGAACATTGAAGAGATTGAAGAGGAAAAGAGAATGGTTGGTATGGAACTTCCCAATACCCATGAGTTTGAGATATTTTTATGTCATCAGAAGAAGATACATAAAATATGAACGAAGGATCATAAATAAGAGTTAAATTCTTAACCATTTTTGTATTGACTTGATTCCCTGCAACAAATGCAAATACTATATTCATGTTAATTGGTGTTTGAGTAACTGATTCTATAATTGAGAAGAGAAGTTGACATGAGAATATTTGATTTATTTTGTCAATTCTTGGAATATCAAAGAAACATGAAATTAAGAAGAAGATAACAGAAATAACAATACGTAGTTTTTCCCCAATTTCTCCATAAATAATTCCAATAAATGGAAGTATGACTACTCCAATGTGAAGAACTAAGAGTAATGACTGTTTGTTTAAAGGATGTAAATGACAATAAATTAGGGTTGTTGGTTTCCATGGATTTAAATAGTCTTCATTGACAAGATAACCATTGTAACTAGAAAAATTGACAACATAACTTTGAGAGTTGAATGGTTTAAGAACAGTCAGAATAAAGTCAAGAAAATGAAAGACTTTGTTGATTAAGAATAAACCACAAATAGAGACTGACAAGGAGAGAAAAAGTGTTTGGTTAATAATTGATGTAAAAATACAAAGAGAGAAATAAAGGATGAGGTATTGGTCTGGAGAAAAACGGTGATGAGGAAGTGATTGTTCAAAGATAGAATATTGAATATTTTTTTCCTTAAATATTTGAGGTAATGTATTTGATTTCTCCAATAATTGTTGAAATATCATTAAATATTTTTATTAAATTTAAGTACAAATATAAGGATTTTTCCTTTCGTTTTAATTTCAATCTTGAGATAATTTATTGGAGAACTATACAAACAAAAATATCAATTTTGTTGAAAGAATAGTACTAGATTCATTATTTAGAATTTTGTTAAAACTGTTCTATTTAAACAGTATTATCTAAAAATAGAAAATTAAGAAAATATTTAAAATTGAGAGTATCACAACAATAAGTTAAAGAAAAGTTGTGGCATTAATTAGTTTTTACAAAAAAAGAAGACGGATGAAAATATCAAAACTGAAACTTAGTAAGAGTTAAAGAAAATATGATATTTATAAATTGATAAAATAGAATGTATGAAAGTTTTAGAGAAAATGAATACAATAATAGAAAAAAAAACAAAAGAATAAATGAGATAAAGTACAAATGAATAATACAACATAATGTTTTGAAGAGAAGCGATTTAAAAATCATATTATAAGAAATTTTTAAGCTCATCTCTTGTAATTAAAGAAACCATCTGAGAATTTACTTTATTCATAATATAGTCTCTAATAGAAGATGCTTTTCTATTAATATCTCTTATTGAATACAATAATTTGTTTCGATAGGAAATTGTAACTCCTCCATCGAATCCACAATTTTGTTCATTTTCTGCATAGACTGTATAACCATATTCAGTTACCAAATCCATTAATAAATGGAGTAACTCCCATCTTTTTGCTTCTTGCATCCTTCTTTTAGCCGTTTGTTGACTGACTCCTTGTTTTGTTAAAGATGCAATTAATTCATCCTCTCTTTTTCTAATGAACGTTTGAACTTCCACCTCATCTCCAGAACAAAAATCAATTTTAACTATTTTTATAAATTGTTTGGTCACTGTTGTCTTTCTTTGGGGTTTAGCTATTGTTAAATTAACATATTGATTTAATATCGCTATGAGAATAGCTTCGACATCACATTGAGTATTCATCATTCTACATTGTTTCAATTTTGTAGGCTTCTTATCACTCATTTCTTACTAATTTAGAGAGAGGTTTGATTTTATAAGATTCCAATCAGATTATTGAATCATGTAAGTTTTTTTTCAAATCTTTTGATGTTATTTTTTTTGGTTAAAAAATTTTGTGGCTTTCAAAAAAAAATGTAAATGTATTTTTAGAATGCAATAATTTAATTCAAAAAAATAGTAATGAAAAACAAAAAAATAAAAACATTTTTCTTTTTAAAACAAAAATAAAAAATAGTTTTTAATAAAAAAAAAAAAGAAATAATAAAAAATTACAATAAAAAGAAAAGATGAACTGTAAAAAACTAAAAAAAAAACAAAACAATTATGGCAACTGAAAATAAAATGGAAGAACAACTCAAACTATTAGAACATCAAATAAATGAAACTACAAATAAGTATAATGATATATTATCAATAAAAGGGACATTAAAAAAGAGGTTAGAAGAAATGGTAGTACCAGAAATAACAAAAGAAGAAATAATGAAGAAAGAAGAAGAATTAAAACAACTTCAAAAAGAAATCAATGAATTAAAACTAGAAATTAATGAAGAAGAAAAAAAGGCACTTACTAAAGAGTCTAATGGAATAAATAAAAGAGAAGATGTGAAAGGTTCATTTAAACTTAGTGTTAGAAGAGAAAGATCAAAGACTGCTGTTATTAGATTAAGAGAGAAATCACATCAACCATTAGCTGTCACAGATTATAGTGCTGATTTTGAGAATAGAAAGAATACTGAATTTACTAGATATGCTGAAACTATTTCAAATATGTTGAAACAAAATGAATCAATTTCAACAGATGAAATTATTGATCAGTTAGCTTCTAAACTTAATGAATTACATGATGAATTAGATGGAGATTCTTTAATTCCAGATACTTCAACTGCAGAATTATTAAAAACTACTAATTATGAATCAATTCATTTAAGAAAAACCTCTACTGCTTTTAGAGTTACTTCAAAAATTGCACCAGGTGATATCATATTACGTGATGCTAACGATAGTGATGTTAAACGATTTGAAGAAGTAATTCTTAATATGAGTGAACAAGCAGCAGCAGTTGCTGCTTGTAGTGAAGATGCATTATGTTTCGGATCATTAGTATTAGTAAACAAAGATGATAATTCATTTTCTGTAGAATTTAGTGTAAGATGTGAGACATTAAGAGGAGAAGTAGTAAAATTATTTGATGCAGCTAAACATGCTATTGATGAGCCAATTGTTTTTAGAGAAGATTCATCGATTTTTGTTGAGAATTATAAATCGGAAATTGCACCATTTGTTAAACTATTAACTGACTCAAAAGAATTAGTCAAAAATAAATCAATTGAACCAGTTATTGATTCAGCAATGATTGACGCTTTTAATGGTGTTGGAACACAAATTAAAGCTGGACAAGTCGAAAAAACTTTTTATGACAAAGCCCTTGCTGTTCGTGCGTTAACATCAGAACTTATTGTTCTTGCAGGTACTATTGCAAAAATGAAACCAAAAAGTTCTGAAGAATGTAATTATTGTGATAATAAAAATAATTCATTATCATCTAATTCAGGGAATAATGGATGTATTACATTTGATTCAAAAAGATTTGAAAAAGAAAAGTTATTGTATGTTGAGACAAGTGATGTTCTTATTAGAATTATTGATACATTAAGTAGTTATATTAATGCTGTTGCTACTGCTCATAAAATTGCTACAATGCAAAAATCATCTACAGTAACTAAAGAAACAGAAGATAAAGATCCATTATGGGAAGAATTAAATGGAAGTGTTAAAAAACTTAAATACGATGAAATAAAACATACAGTAGATGGTGGTTCATTAAATAGATTTATTGAATTATTAACAAGTCCTGGATTGATTAATAATGATTTCAATAGAGTATTTATGTGTTCATTTCCATATTTTACAAATTCTAAAACTGTGTTACAAAAATTAATTGAACGATATAGAGTTCCTAAAGAATTTGTTATTGATTCTACAAAATACGTTATCGATGAAACAAATTCTAATGAACAATCTAAAGAGTCTAGAATGAATGAAGATGCCATATCAATTGCTAAAAAAATTAAAGTTCGTACTGTTATTGCATTAAAAGGATTATTGCTTGATGCTTTTGAAGAGTGTGATGAATCTGTTATTGAAGAGGCTCAATGTTTCCTTGATAATGAATTAGGAGTCAATGATAGTACTAAAACTCTTAAAGAACAACTTAAAAGAAGAGTTAATGAAAGAAGTAAACAAATTACAAGTTTCTTAATTCCACCAATTGATTTCTTTATTCCTGATGAACATATCTCACCAACTATGCTTATTGCTATGATGGATGAAGTCGAAATTGCAAGACAATTAACTATGGTAGATTATAATATTTATAAGACTATTCAACCATCAGAACTTTATAACTCTGATGTATTTACTAAAAATGAATTAAGGTATAGAGCAGAAAATGTTATGAGAATGTCTGATAGAGTGAATGAAATCTGTTTTTGGGTAGCATCATTAATTCTTTCATTCCCCGATTTAAATAATAGAGCAAAGATGATGACTAAATTAATTAATGTAGCAGAGGTATTATTTAATATGAATAACTTCCATTCATTAGCAGGTATTTATGTTGGTATTGAAGGATATTCTAGTATTTCTAGGTTAAAGAAAACACGAGCTGAATTACCAGTATCCGCTCAAAAAACATTAGACAAATTAAATAAATGGCTTGGACTTGAATCAAATTATCTATTATATAGAAATCATTTAAGTAGTCTTAAAGATAGATGCGTACCATTTATTTCTGTTATCGGTAAAGATTTGACTTTTATTATTGAAGGAGCAAAAGCTACTTTTGATTATGATGTAGGTGGTGTTCAATGTAAATTAATTAATTTCTATCGTCATCAATTAGCAAATGAGAAAGTTACAGACTATTTGAAATTCCAACAATACCCTTATACATTCCCAGTTGTTCAACCTTTATATCAATACATATCCAATCCATTATACTTACCAGATAAGTTAATTTACGACCTTTCATTGTTATATGAGCCAAGAGGAAAATAATTCATTTGCTTCATAAAAAACACAAGAAGAGTGTTTTAATTCATCTCTTTTAAATACTTTTTTTGTATTTAAAACCTTCTAATAGATAAGAAAAATTTGATTTTATCAGAAAAAGAAAAAATTAAGAATCCACGTATTTCCACATCGTTTATATTGTTTATAATCCTTTCTTTATAAAATCAAACATCTTTTATTTCATTTATTAAAGATGCCAATTATTACAAGTATACTTGATAATGATTTATATAAATTTACTGTAAGCAATGGTTATTTCTGCTTGTATCCTTATGCCTCTGGTGTTTTTTCTTTTAGAGACCGTAATTTAATGAATTTCCCTGATGGTTTTGCTGAAGCATTACAAAAAGAGATAGATGAAATGGCATCTATAAGCACAACAACAGAAGAGGTTGAATATCTTAAAACTCTTAAATATTTACCTCCAACATATATTGAATTTATTAAGAATTTTCATTATGATCCAAAAGAAGTTAAGATTAAAGTTATTAACAATAAACTGTATATAGATTGTACTGGATATTTGTACAGAATGACTTTATGGGAAGTTCCCTTATTGGCTATTGTAAGTGAGTTATATCAAAAAATGACTCATCACACTGCTGACATGGATTATGTTATTAAAAATACTACATTGAAAGCAAAAAAACTTACTGAAGCAGGATGTAAGTATAGTGATTTTGGAACAAGAAGAAGATTTTCTAAAGAAGTTCATGAAGTTGTTGTTAAAACATTGAAAGAGAATTCTGGTAACAATTTTATTGGATCGTCCAACGTTTATTTAGCAATGAAGTATAACATTAAACCTATTGGTACACACCCACATGAATGGATGATGTTCCATGCTGCTGCTTATGGATATAAAGGGGCTAATGCTTTAGGATTAACTCGATGGAGAGATTTGTACAGAGGGTATTTATGTTGTGCTTTAACTGATACATTCACTACTGATGTATTCTTTAGAGAATTTAACAGACCACTTGCCATGAGTTTTGATGGTATCAGACATGACAGTGAATCTCCATTTGTTTTTACTGATAAAGCCATTGCCTTTTACAAGAAAATGGGAATTGATCCAATGATTAAAAACATTGTTTTCAGTGATAGCTTAACTTATGAAAAAGCTATTGAATTACAAAATTATTGTAAAGGAAAAATCAATTGCAGTTTTGGTATTGGGACTCATTTTACTTGTGACACCGGTAATGATAATAAACCCTTAAATATTGTTATGAAACTTTTAAAAGCAAAAGAATATGACGAAAATGAGTTTGTGGGTTGTGTAAAACTTTCTGATGCAGTTGGAAAACATCTTGGGGATGAAAAAGATATATTAACTTGCAAATTATCTCTTGGAATTAATTAAACATTTTTATTGTTTTTTTATATTTAGTATTTTAATAATAAATGTGTTGATGAGAGGTTGTAAAAAATAAGTAATAACTAATAATAACTTAACTAGTTCATTTGTTTTGATAATTTATCTTCATATTTTTTTGAACGTTTAAAACTTTATAGTAGAACACTCATAAATTTATCAATGTTTGTTCTAATTGAAAGCACGGCTATATTCGTTTTCTTTTAATATCACCACCAAAACATATGGTGTTTATTTACTCATGAAACACCTAAATCTAAATATTTAGTTTGTTTGTTAATACAAGAATAATTGATTCATTAGAAGAATTATATTTAGAGCTTCATGAAGTTCAACACAAAGTTTCAAATACTTTGGATAAGACAAATATTCAGAGAATAGAGAGTTTTATTTTACAGAAATTTTATGTTTTTATTGAAATTTCTATCATTGTATTCATGTTAAATTAACAAATTTATTAATTTATATTGGTATTTAATAGAAAAGAATGAAGAATTTCTTCAATTATTAATAGAATTAAGTTCTATTGTTATATATTCTTTGAAAAATAATTTATCAGATCTATGTATTGTTTTGTTGTAATAAAAGCAATGTCGCATGATACTCACCTTATTATCAGTCACTAGGTTATTGACTAACCCAATGACGCTAATTTCGATTTTTAATTCTCTAACTAGTCAATGCTTTCTAACCTATTTATTAAAATTACTTTTAGTTTATTTTATCATATTTTATTTATCATTTTTATTACATTTTTTGTTTGTTCATTTTCTTAATACATTATTTAAGTTTTTATTCAAGCAATTAATTGTAAGTTAATGTGTTTCACTTCGTTTGTTTCTCTGTTTCTTTGTTTTGGTGTCTTTTCATTTCTTGTTGTTTGTTTATTATTTATTGTTTCTGTATATCCATTTCTTTCTGCATACTCTCTATTTCTACTTCTGTATTTTTCTCCATTGTATGTTTATTGTCACTGTCATTCCTTTCTTCTCTATTTCTCTCTATGTTAAAATTCTTTCATTATCATGTTGGTTTGTTATTATTTGTTATTGTTCTTTGTTTTTTTATTTATTTATATTTATTAGTTCTTTTCACTAAATAGTTATTCGTTTATTAATTTAATTGTTAATATTTCCTTTGTAATTTTTTAAAAGACTATAAACGATAAAGATATGATGTAACAAATATTTGGACTAAATTCTCTCTTTCATAAAGAGTATTTAAAGTGAGGTAAGTCATATTTTCAATTTATTTTCTTCACTTTGATATTGTTTAGCTTTAAAAACAATGACAATATTGATTTGGTCCATTCTAACCATTACTAATACCAAATTACTAAAATATTAAATAGTTGAATTTACATATTTGATTACATTAAATATTAATGGCATTGAGAAAAAAGAAGAAGCAAATAGTCTAACATACTTGTTTTAGTGGAAGTCTATATATTTTAAAGTAATGTTTATTTTGATTATTGGACTATAAAATAAAAGAATAATATGTAAAATAGAATAAGGTACAGAAAGATATACTATCTCTTTATTGGTCATTTTAATTCAGAATTACAGTACTAAGTAAGACCAAATTAATAAAGAACATTTCAAGTAGTTTTTCACAAGAATCAGATTCACAAATTTATCAAATTCTGTGATGAATAACAATACTTTTATTTGAAAAATCGAAAGGAAGAAAAATGAAAGAGTTACAAAAAATAACAAAAAAGGATTATAAAAATATCTTTAATTCAAAGAATTATAAACTTGTTCTAGACCTAGTAGCTTGTCAAAGAATAAATAAATATATTCAGCCATAAGGATACTCTTTCTTCTTGCCTTCTCTCTAGTAACTTTTCTTTAAAAAGATCTTTGGTGTTGTAGATATTAGAAAGAAATAATAAACTAGATTTCAAATTGAACAAAGTTGTGATTGAGATTGTTCATCATATCTTTTAATTGACAAACAGCATCCTTTGAATGACCACACTGTTCTAATATTTTAATAATTTCTAAATTTTTCTGTTTAACTTCTTGGTATTTATGATAGAGAGTATCATACTGTCCTTTTTCAAGAATGAAATCTTCTTTAAATCTTTTCTTTGACTTTCTTACTGTTTCTTTATTTCTGATCCTCTTGTCAATTTTTTTAATTAAAAGGATTTCTTGTTGTGATAATGGCATTTCTCTTTTCTTGACTTCTTTCAGATAACACCTAAACTCTATTTTTGACATTTTTGTGAGAATTTTCTCAGGTAATAATCTAGAGTAGTCCACATCA